TAGAGACGGGGTTTCACCATGTTGGCCAGGCTAGTCTCAAATTCCTGACCTCAGGTGATCCTCCTGCCTCGGCCTCCGGAAGTGCAGGAATTACAGGCGTGAGCCACCACGCCGGGCCCAAAAATGTGATAATATTTTTGCAAACACTTGGGTGGTCAGATACAAACAGGGATTCCCCAGGAATCTCAATATGGCCTCTAAGGAGGGGCGAGAACATCCTCTGCTCTAGAAGGATGCGCGCTTTAATGAACCCCTGAGGTGGAATTGGGACTCCCCTGCAGAAGCGCCTATGGGAAGCGGCAGCTTTACTGCGTTGGAACCTGGGGAACTGCATTACCCAGGAAGCTCTGCATTGAATGACAGCGCGGCAGAACCAGTGAAGGCTCAGAGTAAAGGTGTTTCTGTGTGCGCACGTAACGTAGAGGCGGGACTTTGGCGTCTTCTAGTAGCGGCCATTTTGGTTAACGTCGGGTGTCTGTGAGGTTTGTAAGGTGAGAGGCCCTGGAGCCATGGGTCCGAACCGCGGTGTCTGAACCCAGCAGGTGGAGGGGAGTCCTGCTCGCTGCACAGAGGCGGATCTTAAGCCCCGTAACGGCGACCGCCGCTCCCGGCCGTGCTTCCCCCACGTACTCGGATGGCGGCGGCCGCGCTGAGGCCCCCGGCTCAGGTAATTGTGGCGCCCTACCTGCCCTAAGGTCACCTCATGCTAACCCGAGTCCTAAAGCAGCGAGGGAGCCGCACCTGCTCTCAGGTGTGCAGCCCGGACCCGGCGTCAGGACACTGAGTCGCTTGCGGGAGAGGTCCCCGTTTCTGACACCCGTGGGATGCGACTGGGGAGAGCGACCGGCCCGGGCAATAGCCTGGAGATGGACGGAGCCGGGAGGATGGAATCTGGGGTCCACAGGCGCCTGTGGGGAGCAACATGTGAAACGAAGGTCCTCCTGAAAGAGCAGGCTGGTGGCTGTGTATTCACCGTGAAGACCCTAGAAGCCATGGAGAGTTTCGAAAAAAGGAGGGACGTGATCCAAGTTCAGCCTTTTAAGGTTTTCCAGAGGCCAAGAGAAGAACATAGTAGAGAGAGGGGATGAGGACCTTGGGGTTCTGGGAGGTTGAATCCTTGTTGGTAGATCGCATAGGTGGTAGAGATGACGTTTTTCACTGAAACACGCAGGTCAGACAGCCAGTACGAGGTCACCTGGCTCCAGGGATAAGAAAAGGTTCATGGACGCCGGGCACGGTGGCTCACGCCTGTAATCCCAACACTTTGGGAGGCCGAGGCGGGCGGATCACCAGGTCAAGAGATCGAGATCATCCTGGCCAACATGGTGAAACCCCGTCTCTACTAAAAAAATACAAAAATTAGCTGGGTGTGGTGGTGCGAGCCTGTAGTCCCAGCTACTCGGGAGGCTGAGGCAGGAGAACTGCTTGAACCCGGGAGGCGGAGGTTGCAGTGAGCAGACATCGCGCCACTGCACTCCAGCCTGGCACCTGGGGACAGACTGTATCTCAAAAAAAAAGAAAGAAAAGGTTCATGGAGACCTGAGCTTATCAGATCCTCTAATGTCTGCCTTCCCCTCAGGCACTCCTGGCTGCAGAAGCCCTTAAAGAACCCACCCACAGGCGGGTGGGATGGCTACCTGTAATCCCAGCACTGTGGAAGGCGGAGGAGGGTGGATCACAAGGTCGAGTTCGTGATCAGCCTGGCCAAGTAGTGAACCCCCGTCTACTAAAAAAAAAAAAAAAAAAAAGCCACACCTGATGACAGGCGCCTGTAATTCCACCTACTCGGGAGGCTGAGGCAGGAGAATTGCTGGAACCCGGGAGGCAGAGTTTGCATGAGCCGAGATAGCGCCATTGCACGTTAGCCCAGGTGATAATGCTGGACTCCGTCTCAAAAAAAAAAAAGAACCCACAGAGGGAGTTGGAGAGTGTTCCATTTTCTTACTGGCCTTATCCCCCATTCACATGTTCTCTAGCTTGTGATGTCCTGGGACCCTTAAGTGCCGTTTTTTTTTTTTTTTCCAGTCCTTTGATCTGAGAACACTGGAGAAATCCTATACTCAGAATCCTAAGAACATGACACAGAGTGTATGGAGGTATTTCCATTTCTGTCAACTCATGTAAACATACTTTGAAGGTTGACTACAGAGTTGGTACCAGATCATGAAATGCTTAGAGGTAAAAATGATCGGTTGAGGGGCGGGGGTGGGGAAGGTGATGTTACCAAGTCCCATTTGTTTGCAGGCATCATCTGGCTCCAAAGAAGAGAACACACTGCGTTTGAGGGAGGAGGAAAGAGGATCAGAGTTTAAGCTCCTGCAACAATGCAGGTGAGAGTTAATGGACCATATTAATGGTTAAGGAGTTGTGGCTGGATTCAACATTGACAGTTTGTAAGTGGCAACTAGATTTTCTGATGGACTGTGAAGGTGTGAAAGGGAAGGGCCGGGCGCGGTGGCTCAAGCCTGTAATCCCAGCACTTTGGGAGGCCGAGGCGGGTGGATCACAAGGTCAAGAGATCGAGACCATCCTGGTCAACACGGTGAAACCCCGTCTCTACTAAAAATACAAAAAATTAGCTGGGCATGGTGGCGCGTGCCTGTAATCCTAGCTACTCAGGAGGCTGAGGCAGGAGAATTGCCTGAACCCAGGAGGCGGAGGTTGCGGTGAGCCGAGATCGCGCCATTGCACTCCAGCCTGGGTAACAAGAGCGAAACTCCGTCTCAAAAAAAAAAAAAAAAAAAAAAAGAAGGTGTGAAAGGGAAATCAGGTATGACTACAAGGTTTTTGGTCTTAGCTATAGTGGTGGAAGCTGCATCAACTTGAGATGTGCATATAGTTGGTAGGTATAATATTCATTGGGGATATGAAAAGTGTCGTTTTGGCCTTGTTAAGAGTCTGAGATAGTTTAGCCTCCATTATGACATTGACACACTTCATGTTATCGTGGTAACTCTTTTGGGGGGCCAGGAAGGGACGGTTGGAGGCTGAGGGCTGAATTTCTTTCTTAGGTTCCTGGCTGATATTGCCACAGGAGAAAGAGGTAGGGTCTTATGCAGGTAGGGTATATCAGACACCATGGTTTGTCAGGGGACATAAGCTTCCAGGGGTAGAATAGATATGAGATGTAAGCAGAAGCACAGAAATAATTGAAGGAAGATGACACTTGGGCCAAGGCTGGTACTTACTCATCACTCTGTGGACCCACCAAGATTTTGAGATAACTTTGTTGGTGCTTGGGGGTTTTCATTCAGCCTGGTGGATATGGTCAGGTTAAATTTGGTTATCTATGACAGACACTAGGCCTGGGATGGATGACTGATGGCCTGAGATCTTATTTTGTTTTTTTCTTTTTGTTTTCACTTTTCTTAGACCATTCTCCCTAACAAGGGACTGGGATTTAAATGACTCTAGGTGGACAGAGGAAAGTCATCATTGTAGAGGGGTCAGCAAGTGCATCACAGAAGTGGAATAGGGCCATGAATATCTAAAGCCACACCTGGTTCTCTGGTGGTGTGGAGCCATGCAAGGAGGCCTTCATAGAATGACTTGGGACTGCATTGCTATTAGGAACCATGAGAATTCTGTAGTAATATTGGATCCTTCATGAATTTGCCAAGCATACTCTGAATTCTGTCAGCCATGTTGTAAGGCCAAAAATGAAATCCCAATGTGATGTGCCACCTTGATGTGTGGTGATACTGTACGACCTCAAATGGCCTGAGCGCAAATCCCCTTCCTACTCTGCTCTGTTCCCTGGCCTAACAACCCTTTTCATCAAGGGATCAGACACAGTTTCTGGTTATTATACTTTGTACTGGATTTCAATTCCATTCCTACTCAGAATTATTAAAACAAGTCAATGGCACCCTCTTGAGAAATCAAGGGCTATCACACTCTCTTCGTCTTACAAAGTGTGAATAACAGTCTCTGGTTTCCCTCTGTTATCCATAGTGCAACCCCCATGTAGCCTCTTTGCCAGGGTATGAGTTATTTGATTTTGAAATTGCTGTTGATGGCATCTGTACAGTCTCAGATGTCAGTTGTTTCCCCAACACTATAACCCTAAGGAGAGAATCCCACTCAGAGCAGTAGAAGGGAAAGAAAGGGATTAAAACACTTTTAAGTTGTTGGCCAGGCTTGAAAGCTCATGCTGTAATCCTAGCACTTTGGGAGGCTTAGGTGAGAGGATTCCTTGAGACCAGGAGTTTGACATCAGCCCAGGCAATGTAGCAAGACCCCATCTCTTAAAAGAAAGTGGTTGATGTTGCACATACGTATGATCTTATCTCCTCAGAGAGCTGAAGCCTGGGAATCAGTTGAACCAAGGGATTTGAAGTTTCTAGAACCTGTTGGGTAACCAAGGGAGAAATGACTAAAAGAAACCAAAACTGGGCTGGGTGTGGTGGCTCATGCCTGTAATCCCAGCACTTTGGGAGGCCGAGGTGCGCAGATCCCAAGGTCAAGAAATTGAGCATCCTTGCCAATACGGTGAAACCCTGTCTCTACTAAAAACACAAAAATTAGCTGGGTGTCGTGGTGTGCGCCTGTAATCCCAGCTACTCGGGAGGCTGAGGCAGGAGAATTGCTTAACAAAAAAACTGGGAGGCGGAGGTGGTAGTGAGCCGAGATCACGTCACTGCACTCTTGCCTGGCAACAGAGCAAGACTCTGCCTCAAAATAAAAAAAAAAAAAAAGCAAAATTGGCTGGGCGTGGCGGCTCATGCCTGTAATCCCAGCACTTTGGGAGGCTGAGGCAGGCGAATCATCTGAGGTTAGGTGTTCAAGACCAGCCTGACCAACATGGTGAAACCATGTCTCTACTAAAAATACAAAAATTAGCTGGCTGGGTGTGGTGGTGCGAGCCTGTAGTCCCAGC